TTAAAGTTGCCTGCAGGAACTTGGAAAAACTTTAACAAAAAACTCGTTTTTAGGTTTTATTCGAATCCTTTCAAGTCCAACCAGAGCCGAGCAAAAAATTAATAAATAAACTAGCTCTTAAACAGCCGTTGAACAGTCAATTAATATTTAGGATTCTCAAAACTTTGAACCAGATAAATATTTAAATGAACATTTTGTAAAGAATCGTCTAAATAAGTTATCGTCTTCCAGCAATTGAATTTACTACACAGGCTTTGATCCCTTTACGACAAACTTTAATTTCGGCCCGTGGCATTTGGAGCTTGTTTTGTTATTTTTAATGAATACGGTTACTTTTATAAGACCCTAAATAAAACACACTTAAGTCGAAAAATTACATTAAACCTAGCATACAATTTTATAACCAGGAAAAAATTAATTTCCATATTTTAACAAGAAATGTGTTTTATATAAATTTATCAAAAGTAATAGAAAAAAATATTAAATTTCAAAATATCAGTCTCACACAAACATTTGTAAAGCGTATCCAAACAAAAACTTAATAAATAAAAAACAGTATACAGGGTGTCCCATAATTAGCGTGCAATACTTTAACAGCAGATTCTACGTACAAAAATAAGAAAAAAAGTTTCTATAAACATAGGCCGAGAAATGCTTTCTAAGGGAACTACAGCCCCTAAAAGAGGAGCCCCTGAAGATGGTTTTTATTTAATATATCCAAAACCGTTCAAGGTAGAAAAGTAAAATTTTGGGAATTAAATTAATGGGAATTAAATTAATGGCCAATAAGATGTAATAATAAAAATTCAAAATGTGCATGAGGGGTGGGTCAGAAAGATAGGGAATAGGGGTTAAAACCACCCTAACTTTTTGTACGTGTCTCGTGCTAGGATTTGATGTCAGATTATGAAATTTCGGAATTTTACACACAAAAAAGGTCCTCTTGTTAAACTTTGATATTGTCCACTGTTTTCGGTTAAAATCCATTTAAAAATTACCTTACATAGGCATAAAAGATCATAATTAATTCACAAGAAAGAAAAATTCAGAGTAGCCCATGAAACACAGCTGCCATCTTTAGGAAAAATTATTTAAGACAGGTGACAGTTTCATGTAATATGTGACAGGGTGTTTAAAAATTGTCGATGGCCATGTTTAAAAATTGTCCATGGCCATGTTTAAAAATTGTCCATGGCCTACGCTGAATCTTTTTCTCTAGTTGCGAGTTCATTATGAATTTTTATGCTATGTAAGGTAATTTTTAAATCGATTTTAAGGGAAAACGGTGCATGCTATCGAAGTTCATCAAGAGGAGCTTTTTTGTGTGTAAAACTCTGAAATTTTATGATCTGATATCAAATCATAGCACAAGATACGTACAAAAAAGTTAGGGTAGTTTTACCCCCACTCCCTTTCTATCTGACCCACCCCTTATGAAAATGTTGAATTTGTTATTATTTCAACTTATTGGCTATAAAAAGTTTGATTATATCACAAAATTTCACTTTTCTATCTTAAACAGTTTTGGAGATATTAAATAAAAACCATCTTCAGGGGCTCCTCTTTCGGGGGCTTTGCTCCCTAGGAAATCATTTCTTGACCTATTTTTATAGGAACTTTTTTTCTTATTTTTGTACGTAGAATCTGCTGTTAAAGTATTGCACGCTAATTATGGGACACCCAGTATATTTATGGTACATTATAGACCAGGCGGAGCAAGCTCACATTATAGCCGAGCATACATTTCACTGTCGAGACGCTTACAAAGGCAGTAGATTGTGCGCGAGAAAATTAATTAGCTTTCGCCGCCGGGTTTTATATAATATTTTTTTCAACCATTTAATTAGAACATTTTTAAGATTCTGTATCATTTGTAGGTTAGGTTTAACTGACATGATTCCATTTTAGCTTTATTTTTGTACGGAGGTTTATAATAATTTTACTTTTAAAGTATTATTAATATGATATCCTTCTATATAGACGTATGGGTGTAGGACTCAGAGCTTTATATCTACCCCGCTCAGCCTTAGTAGTGTCTTTAGACTTAACGGAGTCCTTAGACTCGGCAGAAGCTCTCAGTAAAACCGAGTCCTGCCGACAAAATCGTCTCAGAAAGGTAATATCTGAGAACGGGATGCTTTCAATATTTTAAATAAAGAATATTTTTTTATGTTGAATCAAATGCCAGCAAATACGTAACAGATGATAAAAAAGAATAAAAAAATAATAAGAAGAAAAAGTCATCCTAGACCTTGTCTAGAATTTGCAGTAATTGAGAAAGATAATGCTATTAATTAATAAAATTCAACTGACTTCATGTAAGCCTGATAAAAAATCTGGACATCTCGAATTTGCTCAACCTACTTAAAAAGTATAACACCATTTAGAAGCAAAACCTTGAAAGGAGACAATATTAATAACATTGCATTTAAAATTTTAAAAACAAAAAATGCATTTATTCACTTAATAACGTAGGGGTCGGACTTTTAGGCACCTACAAATTTTAAAAAGATATAAAATGCATGAAAAAGGCAAAAAATCAATATTAACAAAACTAGACTAGTGGGAGAAAGAGGAGATTCCTCGAGCGTGGAGTTGGTTGCAATCTTTTGTTGCGTGCATTTAAAACAAATATTTTTAATTTATGCTCAACGTATATGCATGTTCAAAAATGCCAGCTTATTTTTTTAACATTTTAAAAACTACATGTAGCTGATTTATACCAAGAGGAAAAAAATGAAAACTACTGTTTACGATTGGATGCTAAACAAAAATGCAAAATATTTATTAGAACGAATAATAAATTAATTGTCATTAGATCATAAACATTGTTTTGATACAAAAGACTTATGTACTAGTATTGACAGTCATATATTGTTTGCAGGAGCAAGTGGATGAAGGGGTAACATTTTGAATAATAAAGGAAAAAATATATTGTAATAACAATGAAAAAAATATATTTATTTACAATCCTTTTATTGTCTGTTCTTTTTCGGTTTGAATGTAATATAACACCTCAAATAAAAAGAAAATGTAATTGTAAATAAAAATAAACTTGCTATTGCAATAAGAATATTTTATGTCCTTTATTATTAAAAACTTTAGGTTAAAGGGGTTTATTTACTTGCCCTTTTAATTGTCGGAGTAAATAAGATAAAAATGTTATCAAGAATGCAGTGCAACAACAAATACTATTATGATTCAGTGGTTTTACATTGCCAAGCTTGTATCGCGGCTGACGGGGGGGGACTTATCAAACACGATTTGTAAGTTGAAGTAATGGTTTTTTTCCTTACAGTGAATAAATGAAGTTTTTATACGGCCTAATATTAGCTTTTTTTAACTGTTTAAAGATTTGAAAAAGTAATAGTTTGCATGTTTTGCTTGGAATACTTCGAACAAAAATTTCCCGTTCGCTTCCTAGTATAATCACCCTGTATACAGAAGCTATTCATTTGCTTTTTGGACAAAATAATTTATTGAATTTATTAACTAATTTATATATTTTGAGTTTTATACTCTCACCAGTGCCACTGAGGTGGCGTACGTCACCACTAGGTGTAGAGAGATCATGTATTACCAGAACTATGTTACCCCACTGATTTATGTTGCACAAGATCTTCTTTTTTATATTTAAAATAATAATTGTGTTATTTATTTCTTTTTAACAAAGAATAGTTTCGAAGAAAAAATGAAATGATATCCTGGGTAGTCCGTGTTCTTAAAAACAACAATATGAAAGTTTTTTATTAAGAATGGAAGATCTTTGATCAACGATGTTATTTCAAAAGATCCTGCTGTCATTTTTTGATATACGTAATCTTCAAAGCTTGTTATTTTTTAATGAAGAGATACACAAGTGCTCAAAGAATCCATATAATTTAAATTTATTATCAAAATAACCGTTCCCCTAAACTCTCAATTCTCCGATATTTGCAAGAATTTGGCCTTTCTCAGTCCTCAGTTTGGCGAATCTTGAGCAAAGACTTGGGATTTCGCCCCTATAACATCCTGTTGACATAAGAGCTCAAGACAAACCATCATCTTTTGGGTCGACATTTTGATAATTGGGCTCTAGAGCATTTGGAAGCAGACCCTGAATTCGGCTAGAAAATCATTTTTAGCGATGAGGTTCATTTTTGGTTAAACGGCTTCGTTGAAAAGCAGAACTGTCGGATTAGAGATCAACTGCATCCAGAAAAGATTACTGTCTGGTGTGGATTTTGGTCTGGCGGCGTCATCTGCCCTTATTTCTTTATAGATGAGCAAGGCAGAGCGTTGACGGTCAACTCAGAAAGGTAGGTACCGAACGAAAATACGGGATTTTTTTGACCTCGATTGGAGGATATGGATCTGGAAAACTTGTTTTTTAACAGGATGGCGCCACTTGCCATACAGCACGTGAAACACTTAACTTGACAGCATAAAAATTTGCTGGGTCTGTAATTTTACGTAACGGTGATATCAATTGGCCAGCGAGATCATGTGAACTTACTCCCTTGGATTTCTTTCTATTGGGGTATGCAAATAAGCCTCGAACTATTGAAGCACTCAGAGACAATATCTGAAACGTCATTGGCGAAATACAACCAGATCTCTGCCAGAAAGAAATACAAAATTGGGCTTTTCGAATGGATGCAACCCATCCAAGCAGCAAAGGCCATTTGTCTATTTTTCAAAAATATTTTAAACAAAATGCCACTTCCGGTTTAACAGAAATTGACATCAACTTTGCTAACGCTTTTAAAATTTCAAATCGATATCTTTTTTCGTTCCCCAGAAACATTTAATGAACCACAAATGTGAAACACCCTGTATATATTATATATAATATACAGAGCGTTAAAGTTGGTCGGTTATTGTATACAGGAGCTAGTCAGTGTACACATGTACGGAATTTACATATTAACTGTAACATAAACTTAAAACTTTATGTAGGTATACAAACCCAAGTAAGTAAATACATATTTAAGCTGCTTTAGAAAGATTATATTTCTTACCTTCCTATAAATAAAAAGTGGTTTGTCATATTCAATCTTCTAGTAGCTTTGAGGAGACCACGAACGGTGAGACCTTCGCAAAAACACACCACCACAAGAGCATTTGAGTCTTGCTTTAAGTTTAGGATAACCTTGTCAAAGATTTCATCCGCAGCGTTACTTAAAACAGAGTCTTCTCTTGCTATGCACACATCGGCTTCTTCTGCAAGCTCCCGGAATGCTTGAATACCTGATTGGCCGTAGTTTTCTGAAAAAAAAAATGTGCATAAGAAAAGGATTTTATTTATTTATTAACAAAAGTATTGAGGTAGTATTCAAGTAGCACAAATTTGTGTATCCTGCTATCAAAAATGTCCCTATAAAAATGTGTAGATTTTGACTCTCTAAAATAGATAAAAAAATAGTTAAATGTAAATGCACTTTACAGGGTATTGCAATTGCAATTGCAATTATTTTTTGAAAAAAAATGTGCTAAAAGGGATTGTTAAAAATTGTTATAATAGAGACGAATTGTGTTAGCTTTTAACTTTGTTATATACAAGGTGTCCCTAAACTTAGTGGCATAAATTTAGGAGCAGTAAAGTAAGTCAAAATAAGACGAAAATCTAGAAAAATATTTTTCCTAATTACGTATGTTTAAAAGATACAGGGTGATAAAGTGTTACTTATCATATCAGTTTTTTTAATATTTCTAATATTTCTAATATGGTAGACTGATATTTTGCGAACAGTCACTTACTAGCAAAACACATATTCACACATAATTACAATTGTTCGAGTGAACACAGTGTCGTAGAAACAGGGGTTGCCTAAGCTTATTGTCCCATACAAACTTTGAGGTTAGGTTTTTATACCATTTGATGCAATTTTTCGATTACTCAGTTCGGCTACTATTAAAAAGGTATACCTCTCAAACTTCGATAAAATAAACCGTTTTCGAGATATTCGAGATTACAATAATTGTTATATCGCATTAAAGGACTAAAAGGTATTTGATAACAATTTTTTTAATTGAAAAAACTATTTTTTTTTTAATGTGACGGTCAGGGCAAAAAGTTCCGACGCTCATGGAATGGCCTTTTTAGTTTTTTCAATTAAAAAATAAAATTTATGTTCATAGGTATATCTTTTAATCCTTTTAAATAATGCGATATAACAATTATTGTAATCTCGAATATCTCGGAAACGGTTTATTTTATCGAAGTTTGAGAAGTACACCTTTTTAATGGTAGCCGAACTGTGTAATCGAAAAATTGCATCAAATGTTGCAAAAATCTAACCTCAAAGTTTGTAAGCTTAAAGCAACTCCCGTTTCTACGACACTGTGTTCAAAGATAATACAAACAATTGTAATTATGTGTGAATATGTGTTTTAGTAGCTACTGTTCGCAAAATATCAACTTTCCAAGACTACCATAGTAGAAGTTATATTAAAAAAACTGATATGATAAGTAACACTTTATCACCCTGCATCTTGGAAACATAAGTAATTAGGAAAAATATTTATTTAGGTTTTCGTCTTATTTTTACTGGCTCAATTTTTTCCTAAATTTATGCCAATGCCAAGTTTTGTATACAGAATGTCCCGAAAATAACGTACTAACGGTATGATGTACGTACAAAAAAATAAAAGTTTATACATATTATTTAAAAATCACTTGACACTAGCCACAAAATGGAATCAAGATGGTCGATCCATCTCTCTGGATAAACCTGATACAAACAAACTCTCACTTCTCGTGCGTAATGAGCTGGCCAAAGGGCCTTTGGCAAAGGCACATTTTTTAAAACATGGTAAAAATCGTTAGTTTTTGAGGTATTGGAACTTTTATGAATTTTCTTAAACATTTTCTTGATACATTTTTTTGGACTGATGAAAGTATAATAAAAAAGATGGCTTTATAAACATATACAATCTTTATTTGTTAGGCACCTAAAAACGCAAATATAATACGAAAAAAAAAGGGTAACGTATTTTTTCCATATTTAAGTCAGGTTAAAAGGATTGCGTTGAGAATTATTGATCAATTATTATTATCTGTAATTTTGCAAAGTCGTTTGAAACTATAATAACGAAATACATTTATTGTCATATATTGCGATGTAAATCACATAACAATAATTAAACCTAGGTTTTGTAAGAAAACGTTTAAATCTATCCAACATTTGTAATTTTACACAATATGCCCATAATGCAAAGAAACAATTGAATGTGATATACACCGATTTTAACAAGGCGTTTAAACGCCTTTAAATGCGTTTGACCAAATTGGACATACTTATATATCTTTGGATAAAATTTGAGTACGTTGAGGTATAAAATCTTATGTGTATCACGCCAGAAGTGGTGTAACACAGGGAAGCAATCTTGGTCCGCTAATATTTCTTATTTTTGTTACACTGTAGGTAAATTTTTAACTCTTGAAATATCACAGCTAAACGCTCGGACACGTAAACATAATTATTGGTCGTAGACTTTAAATCCGTGCTCGGTTTAGCTGTATCAGGTCTAAAAAAGTTTTTTCTATTGGAAATCCGATACGGGGTCACACTGTATACTGGTTACTTTTGATCAATTAACTTCAAATTTTGCAGGAATTTGTTTTTTTTTAATTTGGAACTCATGTGAGGATCCAAATTAAATTTAAAAAAAATTTATACAGGGTGTTTAAATGTATACAGGGTGTTTCCAATATCTTTGAATTTTGACCTAATATATGTATATATAGCTAAACCAAGCACGGATTTGTAATCTACGACTAAAAATTAAGTTTACGTGTCCGAGCGTTTAGCTGTGATATTTTCACCTCAGTGCAATTATTATAATATCCAATTATAAAATTAAATAAATTTAAATGATTTTAAGATATTTAGATCAATTAATACTATATATGACTGTTATCTTCTGCAAAGCGATCTGAATTTGTTGAATTTATGGTGTGTGAGAAATGGGTTTTTGCTGAATATAAAAAAGTGTAATGTCGTAATATTTCCTAGAAAAACCAGCAATATAATAAATATTTTTTTATATAGAATTGATTCGGAAGAAGTTAAAAAGTGTATAAAATTCGTGATTCAGGTGTTTTGTTTAGTGGTAAACCATAATTTGTTCAACACTAACAATAAATACAACTGCATCTGCAAATACAATTTTGGGTTTTGTGATGGGTTAACTAATATTTATGCTATAACATGTTTATTCTTTGCATTTGTTCGAAGTAAATTTGAGTATGCATACCATGATACTCTACATAAGACTGGTAATCCGTCGCACCGCTTGGAGGGGACCGATTAAATCGGTCCGATTTCATGGCACTGCGGCCGGTGAGAGAGATAGCGATAGAGAGGGCTTGTGGCCCACTGAAATCCATATAACTTTATAGTAAAATATATTTCAATAATATCATCTTAAAAACAGTTAAATTGATTTAATAAATTACTGTATGCATAATTTATATCAGTAAAACTTATAAAAAAAAGAAAATATAGTAAACCAATGATTAAATACGAGTTATCTACTATATGTACAATGAGGTCCGTTATTTACCAACTAGTTAATGTTGTTCGCAGCTTCCCCTAAATTTTTAGTTTTTGACCTAAAAAAAATTATATCATATTAAACCGTGCCACAAAGACGATACATTTTCCATTTAAATAACATGGGGTTTCGGCAAGTTTTACATTTTTTTTTCTCCCGATCAAGTTATTACTAGTAATAAGTGACATATTTTTATAGGAAATTTAACGCTGCAGCGAGCTGTACAATAAAGATGTCTAATAATGTTTCGATAAATTCACTGGTTTAAAAGTTATTTAAGGTTAAAATTGAACTTATAGTAATTTTTTCAATTTTTTTACTTTGACTGCAAAATTAGCATTATTTTTAGAAAATAAATTGTTAATTTTTGAAAATATGTGATTTTATTGTACTATTGAAAAAGTAAAAATTATTGAAAAGAGATAAGTGAAAATTATTGACAAGAGATTCCGATAAATAAAATTTTTTTTATTACATTAAAAGAATCTGGTATTAGTTTTACTCAAATTTAGTAGGATTACTTTTTTTACATAATCTTTTTATTTCTGTGAAATTTTACAAAATATTATAAGATTTTATAAAATATTATACAATGAAAAATTTCAGCTGTAGCTAATGACGTAGAAATTCTTTTAACAATTATTTTTACGAAAAAATAAAATTATGAACTAAAGTATGATTTAGTACTTTGACCACAGAAGGCAGAAGTCGCACTTCACAGATTTCGTGTCGCAAACTTGTCAAATGTCTGTCAAACGTCAACGGAATTAACCTAACTTTTCTCTAATATATAATAAAGCTAAATTCAGCCTGTGACTAAAATGGCCAAAATCGACTACCTATTGCCAACTTCAGCCCGTGACTAAAGCGCCATAAAGTCACAGTTCGTCAATATAGAAGTAGAAAAATACATTTAACCTATTTGAAAAGGATAATTGGTGTAGCGGAAATATCTACATCTTATACTTAAGACAACGTATGCGTAACTACAAATTTTATTTTGTACACAGAAAAAAAGGAATGGTTAATTCAACTATATTAATTTAGTTGACCCATATTTATTTAAATCAACCGTGTGAAGGTTAATATAAACAAAGATTAGTTTAACGGTACTAAACCAGATAGTCATTTTATTTTTTTAAATTGGTTAAATTAACCCAGAAAACTTTAGTGAAACCAACCCGCTGTATGGTTCACTTTACTAAATATGTTTTTTGTAAAATAAGAGTTACTTCAACCTCTGCACTCTGTTAAAATGACTAAAACAATTTTCCGTGCATTCCTGGTTGCATAGTATGTACCGATCGCGGCAAAGGCGGTGTGGATCGCGTGATGTTCTTAAATCTCGCCTCTGTTGACTTACATGAAGAGTATATAAGGTGAGGTAGTCCTTTGCTTTGGTGTGACACTACAAGTTGTTCAATACTAAAGAGACCTTGAATAGGTGGAAACAGCTGTCAATACTTGAAGTATTTTATTAAGTTTGTGGAACGCACTAAAAACATTATCTCTATAGAGATAATGTTTTGATGATGATGATAGCGAGGTGAAGGTTTAATTATCTGGAATAATACCTCTGGTATTATACTAGTAATGCGTCAAGGACCTTCCTGTTTTTTGAAGAATATAAGAAAATGGCTTAAAAAAATTTTTCTACTCCAAACATTTCAAGATCTTATTTTTATTGTTAGGTATATAAATGCCCCAAA